GGTGGTGGATGAAGCTTCAATGAAATTCCAGCTTAATAGTTTATCGTGCAACGATGCACAAAGTAAAATTACACGAAGCGTCGAACACACGCGAGCACTTAATTCTCTGCCTTCACTCGTAACACGATCTTCGCACTCTCTGCCTATCGACCAGAGTTACATTGTGCGAGCGTAAAGTTCACGCTGGCCCGCGTCGGGGAGACGCAAGAAACGCGGGAAACCTGAGCCGACAATTACCGGGCCCCACACGGAGTTTATTTATAAAATTTGCAAACACTTATCGATCGTTTCCCTGGGCCTGGTAGGACACGGCGGGGAGAAGCCACCCTCGAAAATTTTGGTCCGCAGCTGTACGATACGATCGAGGCTACGTACCTTCGAACGAGCAGTTTCGATGCTTCCTGCATCCAAGTGCCTTGAATGTTAGTTACCTAATTGAGAGAGTTTGGGTAGAGAGCGTAAGTTCTTATCGCGTGTTTCATCGATGTCGAATTCGTTTCAAAAGAGTGGTTATAACGAAACGTTTCTATTTTTATTCTCTTTATCGATTTCTATCGTGATTCTTTTATTACAGATTTTATGTAAAAAAAATCTACCACTCCAGATATTTTTTGCGTACAATATAATTTGATATTCATATTATTTATATACATCATGTTTTAGCCACATCATCCTCTCAAGTGATACTGTCCACATATTATATTATATTAGAATGGTGAGACAACAAGTCATTTAATTAGACAGTCTAAATCCATAGATATAAGTAATGTACTTTTTTAATTTAATATTAATTTATTTAAATTATACATATATAGAACGTTAATAAATTTGTAGAACTTTTCGAAACTCGATTTTTTAGAGATCATAATAAAAAGTGGAACAAAAATAAGAGATAAATATGTAAGTATAGAAGGTGAGTATGTAGAAGATAAGTATATTAAATTTTTCAAGATTTTCAAGTATGTTACTTTCTTTACGATTATACTTTCCTAATAAAAAATCGAAAATACAATCGAAAATTTCTGCTGATGGCACAAAATTTTGAGTTATGAAAATCCTGGAAAAATTTCACATACGACTTCTTTTATGATTATGTTCTCCTGTTACAAAATCGTTTGGGCAAAAATTTTACTGCCTGAAATCTTGACATATTAGGAGAACAAAATACATACAGAAGTAGTACGTAAAATTTTTTCAAGAATTCAAAGACTTAAAGTTTTCGGATAGCTAGCCAGGATTTTTGATCAAATTTGCGGTTTTTGATTAGGAGAATATAATTCTAAACAAAATGACATGTGCAATTTTTAGAAAAATCATATATTTGCCAATCAGTTTGCCATAATTAAAAAAACAATCAAAAAATGTTCGATCCTTCAACAAAAGATAATAATGATAATGAAGAAGTAACAATATAAAGGGTAAGTAAAACATCATATTCATTAAATTAATCTAGAAATAAGTAAATTGTTGAAAAAAATCTATATAGGTGCAGAAAATATGGAAATGGTAAATACACGTAAAGGTAAGTATAAAAGGTAAGTATAAAGAATCGAAAGGAATTTTGCGTGATACCTCCAATGGAATTATATTTCCCTAATACAAAATCGTAAATTATAAACAAGAAATTTCTGTCAATGGCACAAAATTATGAATTGGGGAAATTTTGGAAAAATTATTCATGCCATCTCTTTTATAATTATATTCTCCTGTTAGAAAATCGAAAAATTCAACAAATAATTTGTAGAAATTTTGATTATATATTAGGAGAATATAAAACATAAAGAGATAACATGGCAAATTATTCCAAGACTTCCAACATTTAAAATTTTCGGATAGCCAGCCAGGATTTTCGTTCAATTTACGATTTTTGATTAGGAAAATATAACTCTAGAGGAGGATAAACGTGAAATATTTAAAAAAATTATAATATCCGCAATTACAAGATAAAATTTTTCAATAGGAGAATATGATAGGCAAAGAGGTGGCACTAAAAATTTTTAACAGAGATCAAATTCTTAAAGTTTCTCGCCCAAAATTTCGACTTTTCATTAGGAGAATATGATAGGCAAAGAGGTGGCACTAAAAATTTTTAACAGAGAGCAATTTCTTAAAGTTCCTCGCCCAAAATTCCGACTTTTCATTAGGAGAATATGATATGCAAAGAGGTGGCACTAAAAATTTTTAACAGAGGCCAAATTCTTAAAGTTTCTGGCCCAAAATTTCGACTTTTCATTAGGAGAATATGATAGGCAAAGAGGTGGCACTAAAAATTTTTAACAGAGAGCAATTTCTTAAAGTTTCTCGCCCAAAATTTCGACTTTTCATTAGGAGAATATGATAGGCAAAGAGGTGGCACTAAAAATTTTTAACAGAGACCAATTTCTTAAAGTTTCTGGCCCAAAATTTCGACTTTTCATTAGGAGAATATGATAGGCAAAGAGGTGGCACTAAAAATTTTTAACAGAGACCAATTTCTTAAAGTTTCTGGCCCAAAATTTCGACTTTTCATTAGGAGAATATGATAGGCAAAGAGGTGGCACTAAAAATTTTTAACAGAGACCAATTTCTTAAAGTTTCTGGCCCAAAATTTCGACTTTTCATTAGGAGAATATGATAGGCAAAGAGGTGGCACTAAAAATTTTTAACAGAGACCAATTTCTTAAAGTTTCTGGCCCAAAATTTCGACTTTTCATTAGGAGAATATGATAGGCAAAGAGGTGGCACTAAAAATTTTTAACAGAGACCAATTTCTTAAAGTTTCTGGCCCAAAATTTCGACTTTTCATTAGGAGAATATGATAGGCAAAGAGGTGGCACTAAAAATTTTTAACAGAGACCAATTTCTTAAAGTTTCTGGCCCAAAATTTCGACTTTTCATTAGGAGAATATGATAGGCAAAGAGGTGGCACTAAAAATTTTTAACAGAGACCAATTTCTTAAAGTTTCTGGCCCAAAATTTCGACTTTTCATTAGGAGAATATGATAGGCAAAGAGGTGGCACTAAAAATTTTTAACAGAGACCAATTTCTTAAAGTTTCTGGCCCAAAATTTCGACTTTTCATTAGGAGAATATGATAGGCAAAGAGGTGGCACTAAAAATTTTTAACAGAGACCAATTTCTTAAAGTTTCTGGCCCAAAATTTCGACTTTTCATTAGGAGAATATGATAGGCAAAGAGGTGGCACTAAAAATTTTTAACAGAGACCAATTTCTTAAAGTTTCTGGCCCAAAATTTCGACTTTTCATTAGGAGAATATGATAGGCAAAGAGGTGGCACTAAAAATTTTTAACAGAGACCAATTTCTTAAAGTTTCTGGCCCAAAATTTCGACTTTTCATTAGGAGAATATGATAGGCAAAGAGGTGGCACTAAAAATTTTTAACAGAGACCAATTTCTTAAAGTTTCTGGCCCAAAATTTCGACTTTTCATTAGGAGAATATGATAGGCAAAGAGGTGGCACTAAAAATTTTTAACAGAGACCAATTTCTTAAAGTTTCTGGCCCAAAATTTCGACTTTTCATTAGGAGAATATGATAGGCAAAGAGGTGGCACTAAAAATTTTTAACAGAGACCAATTTCTTAAAGTTTCTGGCCCAAAATTTCGACTTTTCATTAGGAGAATATGATAGGCAAAGAGGTGGCACTAAAAATTTTTAACAGAGACCAATTTCTTAAAGTTTCTGGCCCAAAGTTTCGACTTTTCATTAGGAGAGTATGATAGGCAAAGAGGTGGCACTAAAAATTTTGCGTAGATATTAAAAAAGGAATGTAAAAGGAATTTTAATTTTTTTAAAATTTTTTGCTGTTGTGCAATGCAATATTGATTCTATATCTTTATAATGCTTGTAGATTTTTCACTTCTTTTTATTAAAATATGGGAGTATTTTCAAAATGTTTTTTAGTATTACTAGATGTCGATTGTATCAGAGCCTATTCTTTAATTCTAATAATTGATCCATCGAGTCAAAAGGCCTGCTAGTAAAATACTTTCCTCGATGCGTTCCAGCCAACGAAGACTTCACGAGAAACAGGACTTACCATATTTCCAAACCAATATTCCAAAGGTTGCATTTTGCTCGCGATTGCAAATCTTTGCAGCTGATGTGTCGCTTTGATCTGCCGCTTTCGAAGCCCGACAGTAATTAAAGCAGCCAACAGAATTAGCTTGAAATTCGGGATGTACGTCATGCATGGCCCGAGGCCAGCAGGTATAATTGACCTATTTTCGCGGTAATAGATCATCAGCCAGGGTTGGGATATTCATTACATGATTCGAAAAAACAGCTACCGCGAAACCTCGGCTAACTCCGCGATAAGCTCGTTATGAATGCGCTACATCGTTGATTTTCTATTATCGGCCTTATTTAATTTTCAATTAATTGTCTCGTTAACTCGTCTCGATATCGACAGTACACAGTTTTCCTTTTTTATTCGATTAATTTCTCCTGGTCTTTATTTTGATTGAAAAAATTGTTAAAAATTTTGATGAAAACTTTGATTTGTGTTTTAAATATATAAATGATCAACGATTTGAGATAGGATAGGAGGGAATGTGGAAATCAATAAAATTATTTTTAAATTTTTTAAATTTTTATTTATTTTTTGAAATATAAAAGTTTGTTACAAACATATAGAACATCGATGATATTAAAACGATTTACAAAATCGTGAGGTGGTAACGAAGTATAATAAACCGAAAGTACGGGTATTCTGTCCGTTTACTCGTAGATAGTCGCAATCCACGACGTTGCATTGCGGTGAGCGTAGATTTCGCCGCTTGGAAATCGGCAAAATTTATTAAAACTGCCACCGAGATGGCGATCCTCTTAGCCAAAACGGGATATTGTCTCGGATTGCGTGCGCGTCCTTCCACTCTCCTCTTCCCCTTCTTTCCCTCTCGTGGCGCTGAAAAATAAAAATATAAACGAATTTTAACCGAGGGCGCATAAATATTCACCGCATTAAGCATCGTACTCACGGATTCTCTTTTAAAAGCCTCTATATTTAATACGCGTAAATCGAGCCAGTTCGTAGAAAGAAAGGGCGTAAGAACACCGGCCATCACCGCTTAAGTCGCAAAGCTATACTCGTTGTCTCCTTAAAAAGAAAAAAAAAAAAAAAGAAAAATTATTACGCGTTAAGCTTCCTCACTCCTCGCGCGAAACAAGAAAAAGGCGAGGACGACACGCGTAACAATTCGCTTTGTAGCGAATTACCGTCTCAACCACGAGGCCATTCATCATCAATAGCGTAATCAGCGATCAACGCCATCCAACGCCGGCTCTCGCCATGTGCAGTGATCAGCGGTCTAAGCAGACGGCGGAACGAGCAAACCGTCACCCAGGGCGTGCAGCTGGCGTTGACCCCTCTATCGCGAGAGATGTCCTTACGGATTAAGCTTGTTTCTCGAAAGCGCGACGCCGGCGTCGCCGCCGCCGGCCACGAGCGAGGAGGGAATCATAGGGACGAGAGAAAGGGAGGGCGAGCGCAGGAGGAGGCTGGAAATAACCGAGCTGGTTGCCTCGCCGCGCAAGATGACGAAGAAACCGAGCAGGGACCGTTTGATGATACAATCGGGGAAACCTGATACCCTGAGGTCTTAACTGCAGGGGCAGCTACTTCCACAGAGCTGGAATCTCGCGTCCGGCAAATGTATGCGTAAACGGGCATACGTATGGCTCTGTTCGCATAGAATGAGAGACAGAGAGAGAGAGACCATGAATCGGTACTAGATCCGCGATCCCCACGATCGTTATCCGTCGGTTACGGCGCACAGCGTTTCCTTTCGTCGGACACCGGCAGGCCGAGCCTTCTTTCGGCTCAGGAGACGCGACTCTTTGTTCGCGCGGCTCCCCTGCGGACCACAGTTTCGCGGAAACCTTCTTCCTAAGTTTCGTTGTGCCACGCTAAGACAGATTCTGCGTCTCTCCTTTCTCTCTACCGTAAGGCCGTAGGTGGTCTATTGCCTCACCAACACGTATCTACACCACATTTATCTCGATCGAGCTTTTTTGGAGAAGATTTTAATTAATCGCTTCTCTAATTTCTCTTCGATTTATATGAAAGTTGATCGAAATAAAGATACGAGGTTTATATTTATATTCGAGGTTTTAATCCTCGAGGTGTTATTGTTTATTAAGATGTGTTTATTAAGATGCTTCTGTATTCGCGTTGGTCATTTTTATGCTCGTTGATAATCGCATTTCGGTACAGACAAAGCGGAATTACCTAAAGCGGAAAAATGCAAGGGTGCATCGCGAGGAGGACGCGTTGAAAGAGGGAAGGGTCAAGCTCGCCTTCCTGCAAGTGGCAAGAAACGTAACGACCGAAAAGTATTTTCAACCGAGACAATTATCGCGTAAAAGTTTCACCGCCTGCGCCCTTTCCTAGCGATGCCCCACCCTCCTTCCTTTCTCTTTCTCTCTGAATCTTTGTCCAAACGCGTCGCAACCCTTTGTCTTACTTCCTTCCACCCTCTCACCACCCACCAGTTTCTGCCAATTCAGCTTCGTCAGAGTAATTAACACTTTAATTGCTATCGCGTTTCGGCGAACGCTTGCATGCCTCGCCGATTACGTGCGAGAAATGGCCGTGTTTCGTTTAAGGGACGAAAGAAAATTTCATTGCGCTATTGATAATCACACACTGGAAATAATTTATGCCGGGTGAACACGAATATGTATAATGTTCCGTTATAATACGTATATTTTTATGAAAACACGTCCTCCATAATGTAATATCACCATTTGTGAATTGTTCAACACGATTACTTGATAATAAAAAAAAAAAAAAAAGGAACGATATAATTATAAAATAGAGTTGATACTTATTAATTACTTTTAATGAAAAAAAATATCAAATTGCAAAAATCTTACGCTTATAATAAATAACCGCTATCTTTCATAAATCACTGATTATTTACTACTTTAAGGGTTAGAGTAAACGAACGATGTAATTACAAAACGACACTTATTAACCTTTTCTATAAAAAATATTTGTCGATACTATCTTTCTCCGTTATTAACGAAGATCCGTTATTAACGAACGTTATCCATTTAATATTAAATATATATATATATATAAAATATCTAACGTTACAATTTTATCTTCCAAATCTCTTTTCCCATAAACATTATATTTAATATTAATATTATCCGATTACTTTTTCACGAAAATACATAAATAACGCGATAAATATAAAATATCTCGTCGCCGTGTAATTTTAAATTAACGTTAAAACGAAATTTACTCATCATCCACATTGTCAAGGATCTTCCTTCCTTTCGCGAGGAAAAGAAATCGGGATCCAGAGGAGAATAGGGCGAATATAGTGAGGAGAACAAGGCAAGATTCGAGCACGTTATTTAGCATCACGAGACGCTTTAAAGTCGGACAATTATCGCGAGAAACTTTTACTCGCTTTCGCACACCCCAATTTTCTCTCTCGTTTGCCCTTCGCCCCCTTGCCCCGCACCCTCACCTGCCCCATTTCCGTCCTTTACGCCCTCACCTCCCTCGCTTTCTCCCTCCTCTCCTGCAAATCTTTGTCAAAGTGCAGCATGCAGCTTCTTTGTCGGCCTCGCGCCGATTCAACTCTTCCGCTCAGTGTGCCGGGGATTATTTCACCTTCCCCAGCTGTGCTCACTCCCACCTCCGCTTTACTTTCGACAAATCTAATTAACAAAGTCGTTTACTTATCTAAATGGATTCTGTACTCGTCCGTTTCGCTCTAGCTTCGCCTTGAGGAATGTAGGATTTGAGCTTGCGCGCCCATCCTCTCTCTTTCTCTCTCTCTCACACACACGTCTCGTTGCTCCAGCGTATCCTTGAAATAGGTGATTTCCTGGGAAAATAGGAGAGGATCGACGGTTTAACCCGGATTCGCATTAACGGATGACGTGTTGATACGTGTCAAGAAAATAAAATCGTACAATGTCACGATGTTGTTGTTAAAAACATCGCTTCCTGGGTAATTGATTAAGCTCAAAGTTTTTGAAAAATTATATCAATATACCGTGCTTGAAAGTCAAAATAATATTGTTTGTCAGTAGAGTAGAAAAATTGCATCGTTGAAGTTATTCGTAGTCTGTGAATCTTTGTTATTTAATTATATAATATATCTTCAACAAATATATGTATCGTAACAATCATTATATAAATCTATCTGAATATTTAAAAAAATGATCGATGACATCGAAGAGTAAACGTTTTAAAATCAATAATAATTAATGCATACCGTTATTAAACGGTAAATAAAAATTAATCGTTGCGGTTTAACCATGGTTTATAGTTGGGTATACAGTTTCCACAATCGCGAATGGGTTAACCTATTGGAATTCACCGACGACGATTCGTAGAAACGTCAACGGTGTTCTCCATTTTTCAACGGTTTCGAAGTTCGAGTTCCATCCCTCGTAGCCACGATTCGACGCTTAACTCGTTTCTAAGAAAATTATTCCGAGCCACAACGAAGGTCTACTCGTTCGTTAATTGCGGTTTCTCGAGATTCCAATCTCGGTCGGGAGAGAGATACTGAATGAATTCAAGTCTTCAGATTTCAATGAATTCAATTAATTCAACGCGATGCGCTCCTGCGCTCCCTTCTCTCTCTCCTCTCACTCTTGTTTTCTCTCTCGCTCTCCACAAACGTTGCAAGCCCGAGCTCTGCTTAATTTTAATTTATCTCGAGCCGACGATCAAAGACGCATCGCCGTTTCGAGCGCGCGATCTTCGAAAAATCGTATTCATTAAAAATATTTCGAGTAATGCCTGCCGCCTGCATCCGTATGAAAGTTGGCGAGTGTGTAACGCGACTTTAATAACTCGGCATTATTCCGAAGCGGAAAGAAAGGAGGCGCGTTTAGAAACGGGTAAATGAACCGGGATGAAAAACTAATTTCTCCCTCCCTCCGTTCCTTCTTTGTCGTTTTTTTTTTTTTTTTATTTTTATTGGAACGTTGTTACGGGCCCAGAGATGCGCGTACTCACGCGAGATCACGCCGTATTTCAAAACGTGCCTTTACCTGTTTCACCGACAGTTTTCGAAATTAAACGACAAAGTAGCTACGACTTTTACGAGTTCGAAATATTTACAGCTTATGATTCTAATTCAGAGAAATGTGTTTCCTTTAAAATAAAACTGTAAATAAAACTGCCTTTATAGAAATTGGATACGTATAGTTACATTATCGAAATTTATAGCTACAACTTTTTGTTTCTTTCTTTTTTGAATTAATTAATTCTAATTAATCTATTCGCTGCCAAAATGTGATTTCATTCGAATGTTTCGAATGTTTGCGTTTATCCAAGTCCTTACTTCTTTGTGATATATATATGTATACATGGCAAACGAATAGGTATATGGAATATTGCGAAAAATTCTCGAGTTTACTTCGCGACAAAGTGAGTTTACTTTCTCAACTTATTTCGCTTTATTAAAATATTTAACATGTGCAAATTTAGCTTCTGCTTTCTCTTTTTATCGATTTATATATTGTCAAAACATCACGACGATCTGACGTTCGCTTCTCTGGTGTTTAATCAACTTTACCTTATCCATTAAAAATACAATCGTAATACAAATTTATAAATTAGATCCATCGGTTCCGGTCGGATTTTAATACGCGAAATTACGATATTTCACCCGCGGGAAAAAGCGTTTTTCCCCGCTTCATCGCCACGAATTCAGATCCACGGCCGCGATGCAACGAGCAACTGCGTATTTAACCGGTCTGTTTGCGAAACGTTGCCGGGCGGACATGTATTTGTCGAATCGGCTGATGATTTTGTTTAAACGTGATCGAAGCGAGCGGCCGCCTTTCGCGAAAGCATAAAACGGCCGATATTAATTGATTCCCGGGCGGAGCGAGCATTGTCGTCCCCGCCCGTAAATAAATTAATAACGCGGTCGCGTGTTTACACGGGAGTACAAGCGTCGCTTACAAATTGTACCAATAATGGCCGCGTTCGTTATTACGGTTCTGCCGAATGCATGAAATTCCGCCATTAGTGCCGTCTTTATTTCCGATCCGTAATTTGCTTCCGTTTTTAACCCGGCTTAAACGCGTACGCGTAACGCTTCGAGGTAATCGCACTTG